ATAAATTTAGCAAAAATTATTTATATCATCATTCAAATCATTAAAAATAAAAAATATTATTTTATTATGAAAAAAATAATATAAAATCAAAGAATACAAAGAACTTAAAATTAATTTAAGATTTAACGTGATTGCTTTGGTAGATTGAATATATGATGAATTGTAGTTGATCTACTTCCTGTTTATGAGCACAGACCATATCCATATCCCTCTATTCTTGATTTTGCGATTATAATTTATTGTACTTTTTTGACTTTTTTACTTTTAAATTTTTTTAAATTTTATAAAATCTTTGATTAAAATCATGTGATTTAAATAAACTCGTGAAATAAATAGAATCAATTATTATTTCTATGTTATAATGTAAATATCTTTGAAATTTAAATCGATTATAAAATATAAAATAAATAAAATATCAAATCACAATATTTTTTCTAATTAAATAATAAATGAAATGTAATTAATAATTTTTAACTTTATTTAAATACATATGCATTTATTATAATATATATATTTTTTATATAATTTTAATTTTAAAATTTAGATATTAAAATTTAGAAATTTAGATATATAATTTTAAAATTTAGATAAAAATTTATAAAAATTATATTTATGTTATATAGAATGATTTAAAAACATACAATTACATTTCAGATGATGAATCTATGTATTAAAAAATGTCATATTCATAATAATTATTATTATTATAAATAGTAAATTAATTTTCTAATATATCATAATAATATTGAATTCTGAGATGGCGTTTTCATCGCTATTTATATGTTACTAAGTAACGTTTTTAAAATAAACATTAAATGAATGTATATGAATAAAATAATAAAAATATATATATTAATTCTATTAATATTTTTGTGATTAACTTATGTTGCTTTATTAAATAAATACTATTTTAAATTAATACAATATTAATATGTCTGAGGATATTGATTTCATTAAAGGATATGCACAACATATCGAAGATAAAAACAAACAAAATTTAAATCTTTGTTATGCATACCCTATTATAAACGAAAGTTCTAACATAAATATTTTTACTACTGACACCAAAAATCTGCGTAAATTATATCAAAAAATTACATTAGTTGAAGATGGATTATATGTTTCTGACACTCCATTCATTTACAGTGATATTAAACTTTCTAACTTGAATCACATGAAAATCTTAGAATATGAGTCAAAACGTAAATTTTCTGGTAAATTAATAGAAATTATAATTCGTGAAGTAAAAATTAATACTTTAACCGATGACAGTGATTCTGTTAAAATTACATCTGTCTATTTACTATTCAAAAGGAAAATTATATGCAAAGCAAATAGTCCTTTTAATAGAAAATTACATAAATTATTAATTAAAAATTCTGAATGCAATAATCTTTTTATACAAGTACATATTAAAAGTGGTCAGTCTAGCATATTACCATTACCATTGCCGAAACGTAATATTGAAAACTATAAAACAGAAATAGATTTTGCAATAGGTGACAGTTTAGGTAGAATACATGCTGGAACAGTAATATATACAATTACTTTAAGTAATTATGGTGAAAGTAAAGAAGAATTATATAAGAGTCATTTTAATAAATTAAGTAACGATCCAAATGATCCACAAAATAATTTATCCTTACTTAAGTTACCGAAAAGTATTCATAAAAAACAAGTAAAATATTTTTTGCTAGAAGATCCAGCATTAATTTTCAATGCAAATTTGGAAATAATTATTTCTAAAAAAATTGAAACAGAACAAACAAAGTTACCAGATATAGTCATAATGGAACAACCTGTATTTTCTTTATTCAATATATCATTTCGAGATTTATTCCAAGTTAAACGTCCATTAGAATCTTCATCTAATATCTTCAGACATCATACAATAGGAAAGACAATTTTATCTGTTACTATTCTGCGAGGGATAGAAATACCAATTAGAGAAGAATCTGCATTAGTTCAACCATTTGTAGAAGTTGAGTGGGGTAATATAATACATTCAACTTCTATAGCAGAAGGTTCAGCACCTGTATGGCAACAAACAATGTATTTTGAATTACAATCAAGACAAAACAATGAAAATTGTATAAAATTTCGTTTGTATGATCAACATCCAGGTTGGGGTCAACAATGGTTAGGTGAAGCTAGAATTCCTCTTGAATATCACAGAAATTATCAAGAGCTTGAACGATGGGTTACATTATCTCCTTTATTTAGTCCAAGTTTATTATTTGGATATATACAGGCTAGTCCTGGCCAATCGTGTACACGAATTTATATTCTGATTAAAATAGAGCATTCAAATACTCCTAAATCAGTTGACAACATGACTATAAATACATTATTAAAAGGAATTCAACGATGTCTTATTACATCATATAAAATCAATGGTATAGAAACTCCAAAAGATGCTGCAAGATTAACAATGCTTCTACCATCATTACCTAATTATTATGGACCAATTACACCACGTCAAACATTGAATATTAAAAAAGTGGATCATTATGGAAGAGCAGCTTTACTTGCAGTATTATTACAAGGTTTTAATCTACAAACGTATGTTTTATTAGGTATGAAATAATTTTAAAAAATATATATATTTAATATAAAAAAAATGAAATCAAATTTTTTTATGAGATTATATTAATATCTTAGGTTCTTCTCAAATAAGTAAATGGACATCATTTGTTTTAAGCATTAGCGAAAATGGAACATATACATTATGGGATCCTGAAGTTGGAAATTATTATAAATTAAATGATAGCCATTGTCCTTTAATGAAAGTATCTCGTTTGATTAATCATTTTGGTGTCAGTAAACAATTATTATTATATTGATTTAAAATAATATGTGCTTTCTTTTACTAAAAGTAATATATTTTTAGATATGGGAAAATTTGCAAAAATCTACTTTACCTCACAATCTCAAATATGATGTAAAATTAAATAAAGAATGGCGATGTATTGAAACTACTACTTTAACAAAAAATGATCATACTACTCAAGTATTGGAATTAAATATAACAGAGGAAGAACAAAAGCAAATAAAAAAAACTGCTATAGATATAGAACAATCTTTAAAAGATAAATTAGCTTATTGGAGAAGTACACTTGGTTTACCAACAATCTTTAATCGACATGCAACAACTATTTTAAGAAATTTTATTTCTAAAATGGAACAATCCTTGGAAATACAATTAGATAAGAAAAATTTGAAACAGTTGTATAGAGCTTATCATGTTCATGGTTTCATTTTAAACAAACGTGAATGTCATATTGAAGATTTGAGTGAACATTTACATGCAACAAAGATTTATGATATTAATGAGACAGTTGAATTTGTTGTGATATGTCAAATACAACCTTATATTGGCAAAATTTCTTCAGTTTGGTTGGCCGTTATAATTCTTAAAAGTCGTGATTAGTTTATATATTAATGTTTAATAATATTTATTGATTATATTTTATTTATTAAATATTTATATATTGTATTAAAATTAATATTACAATACATACAATATATACAATTTATAAAGTAGAAAAAAAATCTCTTTATTATATTTAATTTAATTTAATTTTATTTTAATATTTAATTTAATTTTAACTTAATTGTAAATATTAATGTTAATTTTAATGTTTTATTAAATGAATATTTTTTATTAAAATTTCACATACAAAAGGATATATGACAAAAATAAGAATGATTTTTTTTTCTTAGAGAGATATATACATCTGCAATTTTTTGTTATCAATTCTCAAATACAAAATTTATTAAAACTGTAATAAAAAAAATATAAGTTTTTTCTGAATAAACTAATGAGTATACAAATAAGATTTATATAATAAATCATATAATATATAATATATAGTAAGTATATATGAAATTAAAAATCCATAATAAAATTGTATAAAAAAATTATAAATTATAATTATATTATTTTTAATTATATATTTTTTAAAAACAAATTTTTATAATTATAATTTTTATAAATTCAACATATTTCATAAAATTTAATTTTATAAAATTAATTATAACATAGTAGTTCCTAGATGAACACAAATGTAAATTTTTTAGATTTTAAAAAGTAAGGAAAAAGAGAAATTTATAATAATGATTTGTAGATATTCACTCATCAACAAAGTTTTAATTATATTTTTATCAAT